ACATGAAACAATGGCCTTATTGAGAGGGGAGTTCGGTGAACAGTTTATCTCACGTTTGGGGCCCGTCAATTGGCCGCCTAGATCGTGTGATTTAACGCCGTTGGACTATTTCTTGTGGGGCCATGTTAAGGCTAATGTCTACAGGGATAAACCAGCAACGATTGACGCACTGGAAGCCAATATTGAAGCATTTATTCGTGAGATACCGGCCGATACGTTGGAGCGAGTGTGCCAAAATTGGACCTTACGCATGGGCCATCTAAAGCGGAGCCGCGGCCAACATTTACATGAAATAATCTTTAAACATTGAATTATATCGACCGTTCTATCGACTCAAATAAAGATTTAATCGTTTTTTAAAATTTTTTGTGTTTTTTTTTTTAGGAGCTGTGCATGTTGCCTAAACGTCATAACTCATATGCCATATGGTTTGGCCTTGATTTGATGCAACATCTGCTTCAGAGATGGCACTATTGAAGGCCAACCGTAGCTTCTATATCCTTCGGAGTAAGATTTATACTATAGTTGAAAGGAAGCACTGAAGTGTACAGTGATAATTTGTGTACTAATGATCTGTGTTGATAGTGACGTTGGTTACTAGTATCAAATACACTCACTTGGAATCTATGCAAATCTAGAAATTAATTGATACATCCTTATTATTACAGAAGAAGAAATTTCCTGAACTGCAAAAATGTGAGAGATGAAAAAATAAAATCACTCGTTGGTGAATGATAATTACAACTAACAGATTCAACAGGCTACAGATAATTTGTCTGAGATAATAGATTTATTTATTCACTAACAATTTCCTCGCATAGCATAGGTATCAATGATTGAACATTACTGATGCTATAAACATTAAGACCAACACACGCAAGCTCCAGATGCGATCTTATTGCTCGCCCATATTTTCTTCAGCACATCTTGTTCACATATCTATACTCTATAGACTATCTCGGCAGCTTGAAACCAATAAAGCATGCTGGTAAAATGAGAGTTGCAGCGTCTTAGGCCGTTGAGTCAATCCTCCGTAGGTGGCGCTCACAGCAAGTGCGCGAAACGAACTAACGACTACATACTACATTGACTTTTTACCGATTCTTAATGACATGGATTTTTTACGTAATACCCTTGCTGGTCGAAACCGCAACAAAAATTGCGATTTGAATAGGTATTTGACGTTGTAGAAAGAGACATAGTTTTGCCTTCAACAAATACGCAAGATTCCATAACAAATATATCTCTCAAAAATTTAGAACTAAAACCAGTAACAATTTTTTGCCAAATGGATTGGTAACATAATTGTGTATAAAATTTCGTATCGTGGCAGATGGCCTTCAATTAAGACCAAGGTCATAGTTTACCATCGATTGAAGAAGCAGACCCAAGAATGCTATGTTATTCAATATAAATAAAGAGTCAAAGGAGTAAAAAATGTGTACAAGTTGTGTGGCCCCTATTAGATCTGAGCACCCGATTTACCGAAGGAACGGGTCTTGATCGAGAATGCAAAATGTTTAAGGTTTCCTCAATATTATTACCTTCCAACTTTCTGGATGCAAAATTATCATCTTAGTAACCCGCGCACGAAACTGATGTAATTTGAGACTCTTATTTCTGATATGGCCATCAAAAGATGCTGAGGTGTTTCGAAAGTAGGAAAGTAAGGGTACTGGGGCCACTATCGATGTCAGTGGAACACAGATTCGTGATCTACGTATCTGATTCTCCCAAGGAATACGTGTTGATCGATATCGAGATTGCAGAATACGCTATAATATTTAATTTTTTGTCCAGTGGTATGCCTCTAAACTATGGAGTTGCTTGATGCAATATTTTATTCTTGTAAACTGAAAGTCCGATTTCGACCACAGCTCCAATGTCTACCATTTATTTTTCCAATATACTTCTTTTTAGTCTTCTCGTCTACAGATTTCAGCAGTTTTGATCTAACAGCACCGAATACCGAATCTTAGTCGAGAACTGACAGACTCATAATGTCCATGACCGTTTCTAGCTGTAGGATAATTCTGCATAAAAATAGTGTATTTGCTTGAACATAGGCTCATTCGATAACAAAAACATGTATTTGGATTAACTTCTCATTGTAGGATCCTCTGGTAGTCCACAGAATACATAATAGCGAGGACAATTAAAAAAAATTAAAAAGTAAGATCCGATTGCATATCGTGCCCGCTCACATGACGTCGCTTCAACCGCAGACACTCTTGGTCAGTCTCTCACTACGCCGCCATTAGTTTCACGTGTGTGTCGGTGTTGGTTGTGTATACGAGTATTGCTTTGTTTATCGACATGTCATAGCGAAGCCGCTGACTGTAAAGTACGCTCGGTAGTTCATTTTTTAAACGCAAAAAAAGTTCGGCGTCGTTTTGCTTCACGACAACGCTCGGCCTCACGTGCTATAACACAGACGCAACTGGGCAAGCTTCGTTGCGAATTTGGATCATTCACCATACAGCCCTGGCTTATCAACGGACTTTCTTCTGTTTCCAAAACATAAGGAATTTCTTGGTAGAAAGCGTTTGGAAAATGACATGTGTAAAAAAGCTGATTTAACAGACAGGCGGCAGTGGTTTTCGACGACGGGGTTCAATGATGTTTATTGTAACTATGTCTAAAATAAAAAAAATCGTATTTTAGTTTATGACACAATTTACATTCATAAATAAACTTTCTCTGACTCCATTACAAAACGAATCTCGCTCAAAAATTGACCCTTCTAGCAGCTTCACTTCATCTTATTAGTCTGTCAGACACTACAAAGTTTCTGTGACTTCATAATGAGAATGACGAGAGTTGGAGAACGAACATCCATGAACTGGGCAAAGAAACTAAGCAGAAGTTATAATGCATTATTACGATTAATAAGTTGTGTCAATGCTTTGCGACTTATGAACATCTGTTTTACAATTATGTTCGCATATATCATATCACGTTATAATATGGGGAAATTCGCCATCGGCAAAAATATTTATTTAACACAGAAAAGGATAATCCGATTGCTATTCAATATGAAATTTGGAGAGTTCTGTGGATCAATACTTAAGAAAAATTTAGTTTAACTCTACAATCCCTTTTACATATATAAATCTGTGCTATTTCCAATGCAAAACTTCAAACATTTATGAAATAACTTCTGACATCCATAGCAATCGAACTAGGACTTGCACCTCCTTCAAATCAATTATGCATTATATACTAAGTGACATATAAATCCGAACACCCAGTTTAAATGGTTTTATTTTAATAAAAGTTGGTGAATGTATTTGTCTTACTGTAAATAACAAGTGAAAAAATTTTCAGCATTATCAGTTGGACATTCCGGTTTTTATACTGCTTTTTTTTAATTCACTAATGCTCTAAAAATGAATATTTCAGCCGCAGTAAAGAATCAACGTTGGCGGATTTTGGTTCTTGACATCCTTTACGATCGGTTACGATGCCTAGAGTACGGAGACCTGTACGATTTCGTCAACTTAGTGAGTTTGATAGGGGCCGTATAGTGGGACTTCGGGAAGCTGGACTTTCTTTTCGGGCAATTGCAGTTAGAGTGCAAAGAAGTGTAGACTCTGTGGTTAGGTGTTCTCAGGCATGGCTTCGAGAAGGCCGTACGCAAAGAGCAAGGGGCACTGGACGCCGCCGTAGAACAACAGACCGTGAAGATCGCCGCCTAAGATTATTGGCCTTAAGCGAGCGTTTCTCCACTACCAGGTTAATTGCAAATGAATGGTTTGCAGAACACGGAAGACCTATTGGCATGCGAAGTGTTTACCGACGAATGAGAAGTTTTGGCTTGTTTTCATACCGGCAACACTGGGTCCTCCGTTTAACTCGAGAACACCGACGTAATCGCCTTGAGTGGTGCAGACAACGGTCACTCTGGGATCAGGAATGGAACAGTATTGTCTTTAGTGACGAGTCTCGATTTTGTTTAGGCATGCACGATGGTCGTGCGAGGGTTAGAAGGCGACGTGGTGAAAGGAGGAATCCACAGTTTTTTGTTGAAAGACATGTTCATCACACTGTTGGAGTTATGGTTTGGGGTGCTATAGCTTATGGTTCCAGGTCACCTTTAATCTTCATCAGAGGTAACATGAACGCGCAGCGTTATATCCACGAAGTTCTAGAACCCCATATTTTACCCTATCTTGACACCCTGGCAGATCCAACTTTCCAACAACATAATGCCCGACCACATGTTGCAAGAGTCACAATAGACTTCTTTCAACATAATGATGTCACATTGTTACCATGGCCACCAAGATCTCCCGACTTATCCCCAATTGAGCTCGTATGGGATATGATGGGTAGGAGATTGCTTAATTAGCAACGTCCTCCTCAGACTCTAGAAGCACTTCGAGAGGAGTTGGTGGTTGCCTGGAATGAGATACCACAGGTGGACATTGACCACCTGATCAGAAACATGCCTAGGCGCGTTGGAGAATGCGTAGCACATCAGGGTGCATCCACACATTATTAAAGGTCAAAGGCTTTAAAGCAGTGCAATCATTTTGAAATTTTTATCGTTTACTTATTATGCTTCATTAAGTACTTATACAAGATTTTATTAAAATAAAACCATTTAAACTGGGTGTTCGGATTTATATGTCACTTAGTATACATCTATTTATGAACAAATTGCCTTTTACATGGGCCATAAACTTCTCAATACATTGCCGAAATCTTTTAAAAAAGACTGAAGACAGCAATCAAGAACTTCTCACTGGATGGTGTATTTTATTTCGATGAGAAGTTCCTCGACGCATGTAAATGTTTAAAGTTTGTTCAGTCTATCATGTATGTGAAAACTTTTAAGATAATGTTTTACATATCCAGTTTTCTTACCTCTTTATGTTATTTACTTATGAACTATGTGATATATGGTTATCGTGACTTATCCAATACATCTTTTTGGATTAATAAATTAAATTCAATTGCATCCTGTGTAACTGTAGTTATTGCTGATGCTGTTGCAGGTACTGGTATGACCGCGAGTCCGCACTGGAAGTGGACCAACGTGTCCAGAAGGGCCTGTTTCTGTTCGCCTGCACGAACTCCTGCATGAATCCGTTGGTGTACGGTGCCTTCAACATCAGAGCCAGGAGAAAGGTCAGCAGAGTACGGCCAGCAATCTACCTGAACAGCAACACCTCGAATAACAACCATCATCGACCTCCTAGGGTCGTTGCAGGTCACAGGCTACCTCAGATAGAGATTTCGCTCAGGACGTTTGAGTAGTGGACTTGGACTAAGTGTCAGGGGGCGTACGTTAATCACGTGAGGTATTCAGGGAGAGGAGTGCGAAGGGGGGGAGAGTCGAATCTCACCCAATCTCACGTAGGAGTGAAGGAGAATATCACGTATTTTTCCCGAAAGGAATGGTGCATGAACATTGTGTTAAAGCATGTTTCCTAATTGAAATATGGCAAAATTTGACACATAATATTTATCGTGGTTATCCGAACACCGCAAAGCAGCACAGTTAAAGTAAAATGGAGCTGAAATATATTCAACGCATTGAGACTAAGAATAGGTATTTGGACGAATGTCGCGTGAGATCGGATCGCACCATATCTCATGACATGTCACTGGGAGAGGGGGTGTCAGAAAATCATCACAAGTGCATTACATAATTAATGGACATCCCCTAAATCAGACCGGATGGGGTTAAGCAATTTGGAATCAGGTATATGTCTTTTTACGGTTTTTGGCGTGACAGTAAAATCAAGAGGAACCAGATTCATACGTCCACCTTTCTTACACATACATACAGGGTGATCCACAAGTCGTAACCAAAAACGAAGCACTATACGCAGGACCGCATTTTAATGGGGGTCTTTTTTGTAACATTTTTCTCTCGAGGTCTTCATTAAAAAGATACGTGGCGTTGAAGCATAAAAATAAAAAAAAAATAATATCTGCAAAACCGTCAACTGGAATGAACTAAGATTTGGTATGGGGATTTAACTAAGTATTGTTCACATTCTAAAGTCTTTACTGAAAATTAACGTGCACCAGTGGCGGAGATACAGGAGATTAATGTTTTTCCGAATAAAAATAGTACGCCATTTTTTTTCTTCGAAACGCGCAATTTTTCAAATTTTACCTTTAATTTGCTACAAATAATTACTCTTGTGTTTTTTCCTAGAGTACCTTGTTTTCGTAAAAATAACAAATATTATCTATATCTACATTTTAGATATTTTTTTAATGAAGCACTCGGGGAAAACATGTGACAGAAAATCCTCCTTAAAATGTGGTCTTGTGTATGATGTTTCATTTTTGGTCACGACTTGTGAATCACCCTGTATACAATCAGTCTCCATACACCGACGTTTGTTTGTCACTGTTAGTATGGCAATTTGCTTGTCATGGGTATGAAATATGGGTTTACCTACTAATCGTCATTTGTTTGTCTGTGCGGTCCGTAGGACCTTTGCCCATTAGTCACTGTCTTATGACAAAGGGAAAGAGAAGAAAAAAGGAGAAGAGCAAAGACAAACAGAAATGTTTAGTTTAAGAGGAAACTCCTAGGCTTTTTGACTTGGTACACGGATTAATTTTGAGGTGAACTAAACAAAGTTTGATTCGGTTTTGTTAGAGTGTAATTTTAAGTTCACTAAAAGTGCGCGCTAATTTTTTTATTACAGTGCGAGCCGTGGCCTTGAATGCTTACGAACTTGCTCCACTGTGTAGTCCACTGAGTCGCGCAACTGAGGGTTGCTGCGCGATTTTGCTTGACTATAACGTCGCTGCGCCAGAAGCTTGACATAATCCCTCAACTAAGTAATGTCAAGGGTCTCTCGATACCATGGAGCGTTGCAAATTGTTCGTAAAGTTCTGCTTTGCAGCACTTGAAGACCTTGGATGTGTGTCTTGGCAAGAAAACACCAAGCCGCACATGTATACGTAATGGCTGGTCAAATAATCATTTTATATAGTCGAACTTTGTTTATCAAACTCAATTTGGAGGATCTACATGACACAGGATATAGTTGCCGAAACGCAATTTGGAATTTTGCTTTGACACCGAGGTACTTGGCAGAATTTGTTCATGTTACACGACTGCCGTCTACAGAAACCTCTGCTGGGGGGCCGCGACGTTTTTTGGTACAATAAATACCCTGCGTCTTCGAATGATTAATGTTAATCAGCCACCGTTCCGCCTACTCTAGTACTTCGTCCACCGCACTCTGGAACCCATCGTGAACCAGATCACCAGTACACGACTGGGCGACAAGTGCAGTGTCGTCAGCATATAGGTAGACTTCTCAGTTGCTGGGGCAAGGGACATCATGGATGAAAAGCGAATAAAGGATTGGTCCCAGAACCGAGCCTTGAGGAACACCGACCCCAACAGGCCTTATTGTTGACAAAAGATTGTTAATTTTGATTCGAAACTTACTTCCTTCAAGAAAGGATTTCAGTAATTTTAGAAGCCAAAAAGGAAAACCCTTTTGGATTAGTTTATAGAAGAAGCCCGCGTGCCACACCTTGCCAAAGGCTTTTGAGACATACAAAAGCAAGATGCCAGTACTTATGCTGAGGGTGAACCCTCTGGTTACATGTTCCACTAACCTGACTGCCTGTAGCTCGGTGCTATGCTCGGACCGAAAACCGGAATGAACGCCAGGGATCACATGGTGATTTGGCGATAAATCACCTTTTCGGCGAGCTTAGAAGAAGGTGACAGCAGACTAATGGGACGATAATTCTCAGGAAATATCGAACCCACCTTCTTTGGAATCGTGATGACCTCAACAGTCTTCCACCCAGCAGGGAAGTACTGGATTCTGAGCATGGCGTTGATTATTCTCACCAAATATGTCAGAGCTTTCGGCGATAGTAGCTTCAACGCCTTGTTGGTGATTTGATCCTCCCCAGGTGCTTTACGCATCTTGAGGACTTTAATATGACTGAGGAGCTCCGCTGGTGTGGAATATGGAACCTCGGAGGGGGTTCCGCTAATGTGCTATGTGGAGTCTAAGACAAATCTTCTGAAGAAGAGTCATCTGAAGAGGATTCAGTGCCTCCGCTAACGCCGCTGGCTATAAAATATCTCCTTTCGGATCGTACGACGTGTTGTTCCTCGTCGAGGTCATTATCAAGATCATAGCTGGGAGAGAACTGTTTTTCCATGGCATCAGCGAAAACCTCCGTTCTGCGGACTATGCCTTCAGGACCGTGGATGTGCGGGAGCAGTTGTCGCTTTCCGTTTCTGAGTGACTTTGCTACCCTCCAGAGAGGAATACTTGAATCAAACATTCCCGCCAGAAAGTCGCTCCATTGCTCATTACCGAATTCGTGCAGTGCGTTTCTCACTTCATGGACAAGATGTAGCCCTACGAATGTCATCAGGATGACCAGACCTTTTGGCCTGCTTAATAGTGGCTCTTTTGTCAGAGACTTCATGACGTCTGGTGAGTGAAGATGGCTGAATGGATGATGTGTCGGCTCTTCAGTGCTATGTATAAGGTACCCATTTCGCATCACATGGTTATGTGTTTACCTTTGTCGATTTATGATATGAAACATAGCAACGCCTGAATATATGTACGTCTGCAATGTCGACAACCTGTATTAAAAAAATGTATAGGTATTTTCAGAAAGTGAATAAAGTCAACGATCCTATATCGCCCAATTCATGTATGCTTGCAAGAGCGAGTAGTAGCTCCATTAAAGATTCGCTTGCGCAGTGTGCAATTTGCCTTAAGATGGTCAAGCTCGGGTACATGGTTCAGCTAGTAAATGTGTTAACTTATTTCGTATGACATTGTTGCGTACCCGCAGAAAACCGTGAAGAGAACTATAGATAAATACTTCATAATGACGTCATCACTAATAGTAAACATCAAATGTCAAAATAAGATCTTTTGTCACATGATTTTGGAATGCTTGAGGACGGCCAAGGACACAAAACAAACAACACGTTTCGATCTGTTTTGGCGACTTGCACTCCTGCACTCCGATCGAGACGTTTTTTGATTGGAAATATTTTTATATACACCAAGCTTATTTTTCCATCCTGTTGTGGGAATTTATCCAGCTGTTGGAGGCACCACCGAGAAGACTTTGTTTTTCAGGCCCGGTTTTTCCATAGCCCTATCAAAAAAATATGTACGAATCGAACCGAATAAGTGGTGTGAAAAAAGGAAGCAAATCAACTCAGTGGGAGGAGACAATACTGCTCTCCACGCGCCTTCGCCGAATCGAATGTTTGGCCTCACAACGTAATTCAGAGGGTTGACGCTGAAATGTTGCGAAATGTTTGGCAATGCCTTGAGGCAATGTTTCGACCAGTGTGGTTTGCCTAGTATCACAATTTTTACGTTTTGCCTGCAACACAGTGAAACCTTTTGCTGTGTTTTGAAACAGTTTCGATCTGTTTGCGGATGGCTTATAACGCAGATGCCAGTATGAACGGGACCGTGTAGCAGCATCCGTTGCTAACTATTAAAATATATGATGTGGCGACTAGACTAGACGCCAAAATTGATATTCCAATAGGTCAGTTTGACTACGAATGTCTCCATGGCATGGCGGTGGTGGAAGGTTCTTAGGACAACGTGTCTCTCGAACGTTGGTGATAAAGCTTGGCATGAAATATCATTGAGCCTTGAAATGACACCATCGTATTATGCATTTACATTGTACTATCGTGAATGGCGGGCTTTATGAATTGCGATTTTTTCGCAACCTAGATTAACTGTATTCCAGAAACATAAAATGTTTCAAAGGAACTTTACTACAAAAATAATTTCACAACGTATTTTTTAGACATCATGTCAAAGCCGTAACATTTTCAACTGGTCTAGAAAATGAGTAGTGGCTGTGCTGTAGTGTAGCCTTCATTTTTATCATTCTCTCTAGTCGCTAGTGAACAATTTTTGTTTTTTAAAAACTTATCGGTGTTAGGCGGTGACAGATTTTTAAGCTTTTGCGCATCAGTGAGTAATAATTATGCATCTAGGCGTTAAGAGGGCATATTTATTTATTGTAGCAACAAATCATTACGGGCTAACGAACTCAAGTTAGGTTACGGACAGATCTGCTGATCGACGAGCATAGCATTGTGAGCGCTAAAGTTTCTATACCCGTATGCGGAAAAAATACTCAACTTGCGGACGATGTATTCACAAAGAATACTTCCGGCTCGCTCGTAGATGAACATATTTCTTTAACAAAAGAGTGATAAATTTTTAGTAGAAAATTTCATAGACGAATTAAGTCATAGTTATAGTTAGGCTCGAAAAACAAGTATATCTTATATAGTATATTTTTAAGAACGTTTCGAGAAAAGCTCCTAGTCCCAAAGTCTAGTATAATTAATAATATTTATAGTACCTATATGTACAGCGACGTACTTTTATAAACCTTTTTATATTATTTAGCTGACGTTTCAAATAGTCTGAAAAGACGAAAATGTATACATTCCTGTTTTGACTGTTGTAATTCTGTTATTTGTTGTATAAATATTTTACATGTATCGTAATAAACAATGTTTTGTAGTATAGACAGTGCGCATAGACTTGTCTTGTCGACACTATTTTTTTACAGGTTTTGCATCCTGAAAATAAATATGTTTTTCAAATATATTGTCTTATATCTCACCCGACCACACACCAAATGAGTTTTAGTTACGAATTTATTACATAACAAAATAATAGCTAAGATCAAAGGAAGCGTCATTTTCTCAAGCATCCTTATTGTGTGGAACCCTTAAAATCCACGCCCATTGAAGAGAAGTGACAAGAAGAGAACTGCGACGGTATTTGTATTTGTACGCATCTAAGGGGACCTCAACATGGAAGAACAACCAAGCATTTTGTTTAAAGCTATATGGACATCAGCCGATGAGCAAAAGGCTAAAATATCAAACGATTTGCTATTTCAACTCAACTGATATGCGCAGCGAGAAAAAGCAAAAAAATTGATTAAAAAATGAACCCTATTTTCTTATTACGTAACCTGAACCTGTCATCGTAATATAGAGCAAGGATGCGTTTCAACACACCTGGAAGCAGTTCATTCATTCCGTTTTCTAAATAACGACGGGAAAATGTGTACACAACCCAATATTTATGATGTGGAAGAATTAAGTGTGCCTAATCTTAGCATCGAAAATAAAATACTAATAATAATATCAGCCACCAGTCAGTGAACTTTTGCTGCGAGATTTCGTAAGGAAAAGTTTATTGAATAAACGAGGAAATCTTGGTGTTCTGCTCACAAGTTGTCTCAAGCTAATGGTTCAAAACACAAATTTGGAGCTAATAATAAATATTAGAAAACCAAAAAATGCTGAAAGCTTTAAACTTTAACCCGCAATGTCGCTTGATGCAACATCGAGTCGCCAGGCCTCTACTTCTCAGCTCAACTCAATGGAGAGATTCAATAATTGAGAACTTAAGTATTCCTAGGGTCAGCTCTAAACTAGTATCAAGATCTCTTCCGTATAGCAGTCGAAGAAACGTCAACGTTCTGACTTTGCCTATTTCAGTATAAAAGAGTTCAAAAAAATCAAAAAAAAGATGCAGATACTTCAAAATTTAATATAATTAGATTTAGTTTTTAGAATTTGTTTTTCTTTTAATGTGAGCTGCTGTGAGCCACCAACTGTTGCCTGTTGCTGTTTTTGTAAAGTTGGTACCTTTTCTAAAATACAGGATGACTACTACATAAGCTCTCATCAGCCATCACACGTGCCAGATCTAAGCCCACCAAATCAGATCCTTCAAATTATGATCTCTTCAATTCCTTCATACTAGCGACCATTTGTAGTATTCACACTATGCTTTCCTGACTGCTCCTATATAAAAAGTACTAAAGCAGTAATGATATTCTATGAAAGCTAGCACTAGTATTCTGATCCTGTAAAGAAACGTCTATAATTACCGGTATTGGTGACGACCATAAGCTCTGAAGAATCTCGCAAGCATGCAGGTTCCGGAACTTCTGCATATGGTATGATTCCGCCGTGTGATCATCCATCCCACGTGCCAGATCTGAGCCCCCCAGAGCGTTTCGCGGCAGGTCTCGATGTCGTTCGCGACGCGTGCTCTAGTCTCGCGGGCCGTTCCTCTCCGTTGAGATCGAGATTGGTTGAGCGGGCGCGACTATAGGGTAAGACTCTCGCTCAAAGGGTTGAGATATGGGGTGTGCGCGGGTTGTGATCGCCGCCACTGCGGTCGCGCTTGCGGTTTGGGCGCAATGGACTGGGGCTAACGCGGTACTCGACAGGGGTAAGTGCATATTTAGATTCAAATCTCATACAAACTCAAATAAGACGCTGCGCACCCTGAAACAATGCAACGACAATGCTCTGGTTGAACACATAGTAGTTGGTCGAGGAAGCTTTTCGCCTATAGGCGCTATAAAAGCTTCCACTTGTATAAAAATTAAAAAGAGGTCTTTACAGAGAGTAAATATCTGCCCTTTTTTGAAAACGTGTACGTGACTTTCCACTACAATGTCTCAAAGGATTCAGATGCATTGTTTAACCTGCATCGGTTCCTCAAGTTAGGGGTTGAATTAAAAAAGAATAACGTACATGCTGCAAAGTAATTGATAATGGCCAAATCCTTGAAAGTTTTATGTCAGCAGTGCCTTGGTTTATAAACACGGAAATAGCAAAAATCACGTACGAAATCTAGTTTCGCCCTACGCAATTTGGGAGAGAAATTCTAAGATCCGACATCGCTAACAGTGCACGTAACTTCATAATAAAGTGCTCTAAGTGCTACATGCATTACTTTGGCGGGGCTGACTTTCAACCCTTTATAGAAAAGTATATATGGTCCTCTAGCTCGACACTACTGTAACTTTGGTTTTTCAGCCAAATACATGTGATTTGGTCTTGACATATTGTAGTGTAAACTACAATCCTTGGAGACACTTGAGAACACTTATGGACAAAACGGCGCATTTATAGTCTACAACGACGGTCTGAATCTGTTGATATTATATAATGAGGGATATTGTACACATAACTTGAAGGAAGCAGATTTTGGAATTATATACCACCAATCGCATACAATGTGGTTAGGTGTCGGGGTTAGTTTTTGTCATTGTTAAACTATGTTCACGATCCCCAAAACTTTTACGAAGGATCTCTTGACCACCCTCAATATTTAAATCATTTAATATTAGTTGTTATCTGACTACTTTCAAAAGCTTCTGCTCAGGGCCAGATGAAAGTGGCTATCTGTTACTTGTCGCGTCAATTCACAATGAAGTATTGTAGTCACAGAAAATGTCTATAATTGAAATATGTATGTTACATGACATGTATATTACACTATGTCCTTCATTTCTGTCGGTCTCTCTGTCTGTCGGCCCTTGATTAGATTACTATTATGGCAAGGACGGAAAAGGTTTGTGCGTCTCAAAGAGCAACAAGAAGAACAAGAAATCGCTAAAACTTCGCTTCTAGACACTCCAAAGACTAAAGTTAGAATTCAGAAAGAAAAATTGAAGTGTTGGAAAGTGGGAGTTTGTAACTGCAAAGGATTGTAAATGTAGCATCTTTGGTATCAGTGAAAGACTATCTAGCATTAAGAAGCTTCTGATTCCGGTATTACTATGCACCTGTTAGGCAGACATTGAAGCAGAAATGTGCATTTATCTTCTATGCAGTTTGAAATGCTTGAAAGGTGTACGATATACTGTACTTAGGTGAATAAGTAAACATACTAAGTCAAGTCTCGATTCCATTTTACTATTTAGAATAGGCTAGACCTGTCCGGTATTTGATATTTTAAATGAAGTTGCACTTTTTTTTAACACCGAAGTAGCCGCGCAGGCAGAAACCTCAATATCAGGGCATCGGGGTTGCTATGAGGATCCCAAAGAACTTTGTTAATCCGATTTTTTGAACTGATAAAAGTTAGTAGAACTGAGAAAAGCCTCCTATTATAGATTGCTCTGCAATCTCGACACCCTAGGGACAAAGGAGTGGTCGTATCGGCCAGTTCTGGATATATGAAGTTCGATACGGTTAGAATGGGAGGCGGAAGTCAGGCGGGTCTGTTTGGCAGGCACATCGCGTGGCAGCATCATGGAGGAGAGCTCTGAGAAGCAAAGCCCATTGGCGTAGCGGTAGAAGAGAGCTAGATCGTCGACGACCCGCCGATGCGAAAATGTCTCGAGACTGTCTGTTACAGAAAAGTCGGACAGCCCTTCTCTGTTTCTTCAAAATTTCGAGGTTGGGTTTGCTTACTAGGTTCGTGTAATGATACACGTCCATGTTGTAACTTTGTAACGCAATATCTTACACTTTTAGTTTCCACATCACTGACGAGAAAGTATTGTAATCACAAAAAAAATTTGAAAAAAAAATTGTTCATTTCGGTTGATATATCTGTGCACTAAGTGTTATTCGGTCCAGAACTTTAAGAGTATTTCTCGGATCTCAATGAAACTTTCACTACAATGTCAAGGATGAAAAATGCTAGCTGTTAGGAATCGGTCCAATAACAGCAGAAACGAAAGAAGCAAGTCCCTCAAACCTCCTTATTGATATTTCAGCGGCTCCTTATCATTTTTAGATAGTATTTTGTAGGGTAATTGGAAGTTATACGCGGTTGGATATTGTATAGATATATGAATTTCTTACCGTTGTTGTATGTATACCCTTCCTGCCCCGGTAATTATAGAGATATTTTAAACATTATACAAAAATTCGAGATCACGGTGTAGTCGACTAATTTTTTTGGCCTGTTTGACTGACTTGATATATTTAATTTTTTGTTATACTACGTTTGCTTCCTTAGAGGGGCCAGCTCGTGCCGAAGATAATATTTTATGAACTGATGAGACTATTTACGTGGAAGGTGTAGAGTCAAGCTACTTGATTCCATTTTGGTCATTCGTTATCGTTACAAATGTCCCACTGCCATGTTGATCTTCACATTATTTTGCTGAATTTCAGTGAGCTACGCTCTTTTTTGCAGACATTTTAATGGTTTTTTATTTTTCTATTACAATCCTTGCCAAACATGAACCATAAAGCACCTTACCTCACACAGTCTTACATATTAATCTTAATATTCTATTAGCGTAGCCTATCAACATCACCTGTTGTGGGTCCACCCCTGTTTTTGGAAATTCGGTATGTTATAGCACTACGTAACCGAAATGAGGAAAAATCTGAAAGCTGTTTACTCTCAAAGTCTTGAATTCAAGCATCTTATATAGTAATCTGCAAATACTTCTTCTTTACCAGTAAATTGCAATGGAAAATTGTAATAAAATCCATATAAGTTAGGAATGTAGATTAGATGAACAGATAGATATATTCTAGTCACATTACAAATAGATAATATCATGTTCTATGGTTTTGCGAAAGGGTACACAAGACTGCTTTATATATGATACATACGCCTTTGTCGGTAGCGGTCCCAACATGTCGCCACAAGCAACATGAATAAACATGCACCTATCCTATTCGCTTTTTGCTCCAAGCAAGGTCTTCTAGTGTGTGAGTGTGTCGTAGTCTATACAATTCTACACAGGAATGCAACGTCCGGCGATATAAGAGCATGACGCGGGATGCTCTGCATAATTATGCAGCCCACTTTCTTTTCACCATCAACGAACTCAGCCATATGTTGTATTCGTGCGTCCAAAAAGGGACCTGAAGTATACTAGCGCCATCTATCAGTAGAAGAACGCAAACATGAATTTAGAAATCTACTTTGGCAAAAGTTAGAGTGTTTGGTTCTGCTACTAATGCCGTTATTTATTAGATCTTCTGGTGAAATACGTTATTCAATGCCTGAAGATACACAATTAAAACAAATGAGGCACCAAAAAGGATAGAGGATTCCAGCACCATCTATAGAACAGTAGCAGAACCAAACACTCTAATTTTTTGCAAAAAGATTACTAACTTCATTTTATTATATCGTTACGGACACCTGGAGAACGCAGTATTATAAACATGGACACATTCATCTAGTAATATTTGAGTAAGGAATGTGAACTTCTCAGGAGGTCCATTCCATTTTTTCAGCTACTAGCTAATATAATGTGGCGTGCAGTATAGGTCCCGTTTCAAAGGTTACTCAAGAATTAACATCATATTTCTCGCATGTGAAGTGCAAACTCGGAAACAGCAAGCAATGGGGACAAAGTTTTCTTCTGGCTGTGTAATCGTAGTAAAATAATGGGTGATTTTTTTGCAACACTGTTTTTGACAGATGACGCGTGAATCCTGTCTTGTGTCATTGTCAAACTTGTTCAGTTTGGTCTATAATTTAACCATGAATCGACTTACGAACGAACAACGCTTGCAAATTATTGAATGTTACTATCAAAATTCATGCTCGGTTAAGAGAGTGCATCGAGCACTGCTTCCAATTTATGTCCGGAACATAACTGTGAATGGCGAGCGCTACCGTGAGATGATAACAAACTTTTTTTTGGCCCAAAATGGAAGAGCTGGACTTGGCTGACATGTGGTTTCAACAAGACGGTGCCACATGCCACACCGCACACGAAACAATGGCCCTATTGAGAGGCGAGTTCGGTGAGCGGTTTATCTCGTTTAGGGCCCGTCAATTGGCCGCCTAGATCGTGTGATTTAACACCGTTGGACTATTTCTTGTGGGGCCATGTTAAGGCTAATGTCTACAGCAACGATTGACGCACTGGAAGCCAATATTGAAGCATTTATTCGTGAGATACCGGCCGATATGTTGGAGAGAGTGTGCCAAAATTGGACCTTGCTCATGGGCCATCTAAAGCGGAGCCGCGGCCAACATTTACATGAAATAATCTTTAAACACTAAATTATATCGACCATTCTATCGACTCAAATAAGGATTTAATCGTTTTTTCAAATTTTTAGTGTTTTTTTTGAATATAAAATCCTATACCTCTTAAAAAATCACCCGTTAATATACAACGTTAGCAACTTTCTGTTCAATTACTGTTATGCATAAATTCCAACTTCAAGAGCATGGTAAAGTTGCTTGCTGGGGCTTTCCAGCATCGGAAGATAATGGTACCATCTTGCTTGAACATTGCAATATTTTGCGAGTAACATCACACACTACGTTAGGATGGAGTAACATTTTTTATGTGCAAGAATATTTTAAAGTCAGATACCGTACTTTAATGTAATCAGTGTGATGCCATAGATTTACAATATCAGGATTAATCTCCACTGAAACAGTAACTGTATTTACCATTATTTTCTATCTTGCAGTTAAATTATATTTTCAGTCAGATCTTTGTCATA